TTCTTCCAGACGGGTAGTCCATTGTCTTTCTCGGATCGCTTTCAGCTCTTCTTTCAGTATCCTATTTGCTCTCTGCATGCACCTTTTGTCCATAGGTGCACGTGTCCTTTGGTACTCTCTTTTCAGGCGTCTTCTTATTCTGATCAGTTCCATCGTTTCTGGTGGAAGATGCTCTTGGAAGTTATAGCGCGTGGCTGGGACTTCCCGCGCGCTTCTTTCTGTTGTTTGTATGATCGCCTGCTGAAGCTGGTTCGTGGCGTTCTCCAGATCTGTTTTTGTCTCGATGCGTGGTATCTCACCCAGCGCATCGTGTATGGCTCGCTGGAATCTTGTCCAGTCTATGACTCGCCTTGTTGGGTTATCTGTTTCTACTTCACCCCTTCCTATTGTGAATAGGATGGGGTTGTGGTCTGACGAACCTTCGTCTAGTAGTTCCATCTCCATAGTATCGATGTTCTGTACAAGTGCGATGTCGAGAATGCTTGGGATTGCGTCTGCTTGCGGGTAGTACGTTGGACTGTTAGGTGCTACTACCTCGATGTTCTCAAATTCTTCTAGTAATCTTACTATATCTCTGCCTCTTGTGTTTGCAATTCTACAGTTCCAGTCTGGCGACTTTGCGTTGAAGTAGCCGATGGCCACTGTAGGATGGTGATCTGGGAATAGTTCTGCCATGTCGGTTCTTTCTAGTCTTCTACTTCGAGGAGGTAGGTACACCGACGATATTCTCAGCTGTTCGTAGCGTCTCACGTTGACTCTGACCGCTACTACTTCTCCGATTTGGACATATGGTTTTCTTTCTTCGTTTTGCTCTAGATCTGTTTTTACTAGTAGCGCAACGCCCCCTGCGGCGTTGCGCCCCCCTAGCCAATCTGTCCTATATATATTATATCCTGGGATTCGGTAGCTCTTTTCGCTTCTTATCCGTGTCTCCTGGAGTGCCATGACGTATATTTCTAGACGCGACAGTAGCTCCAGTAGCTCGTTTCTTTTGTCTGTGAAACCGTTTATGTTTCACGATCCTATGACTAGTCTGCCAGGCACTCGTACTGGTATTACTGTTTGGCGGGTACTTGTATTAGTGCGGCTAAGACCGCTTGCGCGATCTTTTGCTGCTCGACTGTCAAACTGCTAAGTATTTTCACTAGGTCATTTTCGTTGTTGTTTGCTGGTGGTTGTCTTGTTGGGTTTTTTTTAGCCGATTGCTGTTGTGGCTTCGGTGTCGGTCTTTCCGCCTCTCTGGGTTTGTTCCAAGCTGATGTTCTCTGCCTCGGGAACATCTTGCAGCCTCTGTAGCTTGCCGGGTGCGCCTCCATACAGTTCGCGCATTTGGCCGGCGTGTCCATTGTTTTTTTACACTCCCTGGTGTCGTGGTTCTCTCCACACTTGACGCAGCGTGCCATCGAGTGGCAACATCTCTGCGAGTGGCCGAAGAACTGGCATCGATGACATTGGGATACCAGTCCCTTNTTTTCAGAAGAAAATCATAGCTTCTCTATTAATTATCTGCGAGCGCTTTCGACAGTTGGTAGTACTGTCATCTTCTGGCACTCCTCAAACTGACTCAGTTTGAGGAGTGCATTCCCGGCATGCAAAATTATAACACGTTTTTCCCTTGAAGAAGGTGTGTTCAAAGCACAATAACGAGATAGTTTCGTTAACTCACATATTCTATTCACAATAGCATTCTGTGAAGTGTGACACAATTTTCCTTCTTCAAGCATTCATGAATATTTAAAATTACTCGCTGAATTTGAAAATGTAAGTCCTTATTTTCAAATTCCGGATCTCTGTCGATTGACACAGATTCCTCACACGTAATGTTATCATTTGTTTCAAAAGGTTCCCAGAAAGCCATATTGATGAAAGTACCCAAAAACACTAAGATTTTCACAAAAATCGGTTTACACGATGAGATTGGAACCTTTGGTGTAAAAGTTGAAAACTTTTTCTAGAGATCAATTACCCTAACAGACAAAAAATTAGTATTCAGCCAGTCCAGCTAGCCGAGCCTTTATTCCTCAACTACATTTGATAGCACGTTTACTAACTATCTGGGCGACTAGAGGCCACAGGCAAGAAATTTTTATGACTGTACTCTCATTTTTATTGCCGTTCCAATTGGGAATGGATAGACTATAACCCACGGCCTTAATAGAGCAGGCACATTACCTGCCATACCTAACCCCCCTTCAAATACGCCCAAAACCAGGAAGTTAACATACATACAGGTTGGACGTGATGAACTAGCTCCCGAACGTGGGGACAATTTTTTATTGTCAGTAAAATTATATTAAAATACCCACAGTTCAGGCTGGAAATATCCTTGTTTCCTCAGTGTGTAAAAGTTGAATTATTGCTTTTGTAATGTTTTATTTATAGCCTTATTGAACAAATGTGATGTGGTACACGTTTTTCCCGAGATTTAACAAAATTGCCATTCGGTTGCACCAATAATTTGTCATTTAATATGTAGGTTTGCGTGTAATTTTTTTTATCTGCTCTAATTTGGATGTATACGGTTTTATTTCTTCATATAAGGGAAACATTTTTTTACAAGAAAATCGATAAAGAACTTTCATGATTATTTCAAGTTATAACCTGGCTAGATATCAAGACTTGAAAAAGGTTTATCTCTCGAGTGTCGAAAAGAAACACACAATTTAGGAAAAAACATATTTTGAAACAGTATATGTAAAATATATATGCATTTTTTAAATCGATATTGAATTTAGTTTCTATTCAATTTCGAGTATTGTAATTATTCTTATAATTTGCTTTGTTGCATTCGAGTGTGCCGAACATTTGCATTAAAATCAGTTATTGCATTCAGTAACTTCGAAAATGGATTCATCTAAATTAGTGACAGATGAGTTGCAATACAGTTAATAGAGGATTTTTGGAATAGACTCCCAAAATCGTTGACGGAATCGAAAAAGCTAGAAATTATTTCCAGAATTTTGGAACTTTTCCATATAGAAAAGTTAGGAACTGAACATTCCAATTGAAAAAATGTTTCGTTCGACTCTGAACTTCAAAATATTCGAAGCTGCGTTACCAATCTTTTCTCATATTAAAAGGATGTTAGTGATTATCTGTAATATTTATCTGTTCTTCATTTAGAATTATTACGTATAAGACCAAACATAGTGCTGTTTGAAATAGAATATTTGCCACTATTCATAGAATTCATTCTGCACTTTTCGATTTCCGTGCTTTCAAAGATATCCATCCAGAAACCTGTAGTCATGTACCGCTATCAATAATTTTAAACAGTAGATTTTTCCGGTCTGTTAAACCAAACACGCGAAACATGTTCCTCTTATGTACCTAGTCCGTTTGGTTTGACCAACATATTTTTTACCACAATCTTCAAGAGCCATCCGCATGATTGGAGACGCGAACATCACTTGCAACCTTGATAGTCTAGAACATCGAAGAATGGTTGGAGATTTGTCTCTCTTCTATAGATACTTTCACGGGAAGTGTTCGAGTGACCTGGCATATTTGTTTCCACCAAGAGCGGTACATATCAGAAATACGGGACAGACTGTGGCTGCTCATCATTTTGAGGTTCAACTCAGTACACCTCAAAAACTCTTTCATTTGGAGAACTGCTTTTATGTGAAATAAACTTCTTGAGAAAGTTTTTCCGAATGTTATATCGATATATAGCGATTCAAATCCAATGTGAATCGACACTTTCGCACAGGCACCGCTTTTAGAGCGCCTCAAGAATATTCCTGTAGTGCTTGTGTTTTGTCCTTTAAAAAAATTTATATAGGCTGAGACCGCATATGCTGGACATACTAAACTATATCCATCCAACAAACAAAAATAGATGCGTGATCAAAATATGATCACCACGCACATTTGTATCTATTGGATAAGATAAACAAGTCTCCTTACAATAGCCAATCAGATTTAACTGCAATCTGCTGACGGAATTCATGTTACAGTGTCGGAATCGTCAGTTACGTTTTAACGTCCATGGTGTGTACATATACGTTAACTTAAAGTTTTAAATTTTTAAAATGTCTAGTACTGATAAGGCTGAAGAAACTGCTGATTTGTGTCCCTACACTACACCTAAAAATATCCTATACCCAGCCGCAAATTATAAAAAAAAACTCGGTCGTTCCTTAGTGCGGCTCTGTACAAGCAGCCTTGTCTGGCAGATCACGTGCACTATACATGATGATATTTTGGAGCACTCTGTTGCTTAGATGGACAGAGTATAATAGCAAGTTTCTGCCTCGCAGGAGATTGTGCACATTGTGTTGGGAACCCCTATACCCACCAGATGATGCAGGATGCTTCCACCTCCCTCTCCGTAATCCCTGCATAGTCCCCATTTGAGATAGACCGTTGCACATTTGTCTGTCCCGAATTTTATACCGATAGTAGGCGTGTACTCTTCCACCACCCTCAATGACTGATGGAGATCCTTTTCTCCAGTGGCATAAAGTTTAGATTATCCATATTAAACCAATGGGTGACCTTATGCCTCCGGTTTCCGGGGGTGCCGGATTATTATTCTCACTATTATTAGTAACAGGTAATTGAACATTTTTTAAAATGTGCTACCACAAATATTTTGTTTAATTCAAACATTTTAAAGGGGGTGCTATTACTCCAAAATGGTTGAAGGGAAAGTATAAAACTTATGAAAGGTTAACTCAGAATGAAACATTCATGTGATTTGAAAATTTTCAATAATATTGTTTATATTACTAATAATATCATGCTTGATGGACATATTGTATAATACCAGGTCCATACATGAAACTAAGTTGATAAAATGGATAAATAAATCACAACGTTAATAAAGTTATATTTTCATTCATTTTATATTTATGACACTTAAAATAAAATAAATAAAAACAAACAGGGCCATTTTTCCATACAGAGAATTTTTTTTAAATATATGAATTGGATTAATGAAATTATGCTGTATATTTTCGTTTGCATTTTCACATAACTGAATTTAAATCTTACAGAGATTCAGAACTCCATCCAGAAGCCGATCAAGAAGTGTAACTCCTATTCATTGGCGTAAAGAAGAATCAAGAGTGATTAAACTTTCAGAGTTTGAAAAATTAGAAGCCGAGCGTAAACGTCTCGAACTCAAGAAGACTACTAAGGGGAACCGAAAACTTTCTCAAGAAAGAAGTGGTACTCCGGACATTTCTAGCAATAAGTCCTTCACTCCGCAAATGAAGTGTCCCAAAGACAAAGGGGTTGATTACAATGCTCTCGATTACGAGGGTCAAAGTGAAGAAGAAAATGATGTAACTAAAAAATTAATACCCAGTTTGGTACAATATCCATTGCCAGGAGCTTACAACGCGTTTAAAACAGAGGAGGAAGTTCATAATGAGATGAAACTGGTTGAACAAGAGCATCGCGAAACTGAAGCTATCAATAAGCGATCAGATTTTCTAGCTATGGCTTTAGGTAAGTTGACTTGTGAAAATTGAACAGATTTCTGTATGCCAATTAGTTTCTAATCTCCCTATAGTGATTGCATAGAAAAAAAACCAAAGAACTAAAAAATTAAACTAAGTTAATTTAAGAAGCAAAATGTTAATATACAGGGGACATCAACGATGTATGGGTGGACGATAACTGCTTTTTTTGAGATAGAAAAACAATGTCAAAAATAAGAATTGTAGAGATAAATAAAAGCTGAAAAAAAGATTGGAAAGTGGGTCTATAAGAAACATACAGACTACTACGAAAACACACAAGAGAAAACCTTTATAAAGAGTTTGTCCGAGAAGAGAACTGAATCATTGCTTCAACAAAAAGGAAGAGGCTCAATAATCCAAAAAAGTGAATGTGAGGCACTGGATCCAACTGAATTACAGGAGGCAAACAATTTATAGACAACCCAGAAGAATATGATATAAATCCAGTAAGAGACGTTTACTACAGATAAAAAGATTGCTGGAATGGGTGTCATAAAAAGATAATAATAATAGCGACTTTATTTTTCATTTTACATAATAAATAAGTGTTTCCAACTTATGAGTAATTATTGTTATGATAGGCGGACTTCAGTTTTTTTAGAAAATGATATAGACAGAAATGAGCAAGTCAATAGCTCCCAAGTAGTAGTATAAAGATGAAAACTATGTTTCAACAATATTGATCAATATACAGGGTATTCAATAAATGTGTGTTTTACCAGAATTGGGTTTTTTAAATGAAGCAGTTGAAAATATACGGTTCTTAAGGTTTATACCAGGAGGTTCGTAAGTTTTGGTGACATATATGACACAAAATGGGATCATTCAATACCCAATATCTCCTATTCGATCTCAACGGATTGAGCAAATATGCTCGAGAATAGTGTATTTCCAATTCTCATTTATAATTTTACCAACATAGTCTTAATATCTTCCAAAACACCCAGTATAAACCCAAACAACTTTAAGTTTTTAAAAACAATCCTGAAAGAAATCAATCGAATGAAAAGATACTGTGTTCCATTTAAAAAATACAACTTTGGTAAATCACATTTCTGTGACATAACTTCCATTAGGTACCCTCTACAATTTTTATTTGAGCAGTTTTTTCCATCTCAACTAAAGAAGCAAGTGTACCCATACTCTTGACACACTTTGCATAGTAAGTTCAGTGTTTTTTTTTCAATTTTTTTAATAATTTTATTAGGCCGACTTAAAACATCCTTGGATATATGAATCATTAATTTTTAAAAGCATGTATAAAATATTTCACCTAAGCACCAAATTCATTTTGGACCTTAATCAGAAACGACTTATTTTTAGACCAGCAAATACAATAGAAAATCTTACTTCCGAATCTTTGTGGATTCACTCAATATCAAATCGATAAAATAATATTGGTTTATATTTTCTGTTTGCCAAACAGTGACATCGAATTTACCTTTTATTTTCAGCTCTTTTATTTTTTTTTGTGGTACTAGATACAAGCAGGAAGGGATTGAAATTCGGGCCCTAAACAATATTAATGTTAAATCGGTTTCATTCAATGAGTTTTTGTTGAAACTAAAAAAGAAATATCAAAAACATAGAAAAACCTGACCAGAACTGTCACTATCAATCACTATCAAATAAGAAGAACAACAGCACATCAATATTATTTACATTTTGAAAAGTTATCAATAATTTTAAGCAAGGTACATACAAAACAAAAGATTATAAACGTTCAACAAATGTACCAATTTAAAGGAAAGGCAATATATTGAATATTTATCTAATTTCAGAACCGAGACACTATTTCAAATTTTTCTATTTTCAAAAAAATAATATATGATTTTTTCACTTTCAAGAGGATTTTGCTTCCTTTCGTTTTACTATCTATATTGATTCCTTCTGTATATTTTGTTCACATGTCTAGCACTTTTTTGCATCCGCAAATGTATATTATTTGTACATAACGACTATTTTGCATCCGGCGATGTTGCCAAAGAATCAAATCGTAAGATACCAATTCAAATTTAGATTTCACCACTCTCATTTATGTCTTTCCCGACATATGTTAGGACGAAAGTTTTATGAAAATTTTGTGAAAAAGTTATGAACATGAAGAATGCTTTTAAATAAATCCAACATCCAAATTCAGAACAAAATTTTATCTAATTAAGTGAGCGAAATTCTTAATAGTCATGTCAATAGTCAAGTTATTTGGATCAATAAAGGAAGTGGTCCAAAATATTCAGTTGAGATAGTCGTTATAGAAAAATGCTTATCGAAATTGGGAAGGAAAATAAAATTAAATGAACAATTGAAAGGAAGTTGAAAAAATAGAACACTTAAATATGTATGTTTAAAATGTTTTTCCGTTGAGCAGCTGTTACACTACTACGAAAGACAACCCTCAGAAGTCGAAACTTGTGCAAGCTAAGGACTAACGAGGTCTTACCTTTTAACGTGTGAGTTCTAACACAGGTTGAACGATAGCAAGTGAAAATCGATCGTTCAACCTGCGGCTAGAACCATCGACTCACACATCGGTCGATTGAGAGAGTGAACAAAGCACCCACGTCGAACCGCTCGGCTACCGACCTTATTTCTTAAGAAAACAAATTATTGTGGTCTGAAATGAAAATAAATGGTTCAAACAATTAGTGAAAAAGTAATATGAAAAATGAAAATGAAATACTCATCAGTTTTCATTCAAGGACGATGGTGTATACTAATAAAATCGAAACGTGTCGTGAAGTATGGAATCTCTGCTTTCATTTTTTTTATTTTTATTTTTTCATCTAAAATGTAAATTAAACATAAGGCAGGAATAGCAATAAAAATTAAAGTAATTGTAGGTAAGATAGTTATAATAATTTCAATAGTTTGTCCTTTTAATAAGTATCGATGTGAAAATTTATTTAAAAATAATCTTATTATTAAATCAATTGGTCTACTAATGCAGTAATAATTATCATTATTACTTATTAATGTATGATCATAAGAAAAGTTAATTGTTCTATCAAGGGGAAAGCTCTATTTTGTAGTATTGTAACGAATTAAAGAATTAATTGTCTTAAACAAATTTATTTTCAACAATATTTCACTATCACAACTAATTTATATACAACACTAACGCTTAATTTATCCTTACAGTTCGATTTATTTCGAACGCACGATTCACATTGATAAAAATAGCTGCGTAAACGCAAGCGAAACATAAGTGAAACCACCTATTAGTGTGACACCCAAGTCAACTTGCCAAGTTTTTATGTCAGTGTTGGTGGTTTGACCACCACTCCGCCGATTTAGGCCACTTTCCTCAGCCTCGAAGGCTGAGGGATGAGACCCCCGATCTCGTCTCGACGAGTTCCGGTGACCGACTTCCTTTGTGTCTCCCTAAAAAAAACTCCTAAGCCCTAGCATCAGCTACGCTAGCCACAAAAACCTTATCTCAGCGTTTTTTTTACCCTCCCAAGCGTATGATCATCGGCAGTAAGCAATATATTCATTTTGTTTAGTCTATTTCAACTTTGAACATGACCATAACGACGCTCGAAGGTTCGACAGTCATAATGTAATTCAGCGCTTTTTCAACTGGAAAAATATCGACACCGAAGAAACCGATGATCGACCTCGATTTCGATGAATAAAATAATATTTTATGTTACTATCGCAATGGCAGTTATTACATAATTCATATATTGGTCACCATCATCGACGATGAATGGTGCTGATGTATCATCTCATCGATGATGGTTAGGTTAGGTCCAAAGTGAGTGGGTCTTTTCGACCCTCCACCGCAACCCGCAAGGGTTTATTGTGGCTCACACTTATTCACACTCGACCAAATAAACCCAGCTTCTTAACGAACCCAATCAGTTTGTATGGTGAGTGGTCTTTCAGGTCAGATGGTAAGAGTACGGCTCTGCCGAACTCTAAAAACCTGATTCGATCCCTAGCGGGGCAGGCACAAAGTATATGCTCTGCTGTTTCATCGTTAACAAGGTAGTCGGATAGTCAAGGTGATACCCGCGACAACCTTCCCATATGAGGGTTTTTGCACGTCAGCTATACCTGACCATGCCTTAGATTCAACCGTGCAGGGCTTTTTCGCCTCTGGTTTTGGTGAATCATCACTTGAGCGCAAACATTTGCTAGCCTGCTTATGGGGGGTTTGTTCCTCCACCTGGGACAGATTCTGCGTACGCCGCTCAAGAATTCGGTGCAAGGCGGTTTCATAAGGTACTCCGCTTTTGAGGAGACGACTCAGTCGTTTCCTGGCTGCACCACAAAACCTTTTTTAGGTTTAGTTATTGGATCAGGAGTTGGAGAGTTGAGAAGCTCCCGCCCCTGATCTAAATTTACAGGGAGGTCAGTTGGAGTCGTAAGCTCGACATTCATTTCCTCTGTAGACTCGCTCCTGATCTAAATTTACAGGGAGGTCAGTTGTAGTCGTAAGTTCGACATCCATCTCCTCTGTAGACTGGGAGTCAGAGAGATTTTTCAAGTTTACTCTGTCCATAAAGGTCCCCCGAGTAGCTAGAAAAAGAAAGTCAATCACAGCAGAGCCCTGCATTACCTTGACAAGGCGATGCTACGACGAGAAGGCGCCCAGTATCTCGAAGGTTCCATATAGACAGCTGATAGGCTCAGTGTCATTCATCCTCTCGGCACAGATACACACACCTCAGGATTAAGCCATCGTTAGGATGCCATTCAGTTAGGGAATAACAGAACCACAAGTGATTCTGTCATTCCCGTATCCAGCGGGGCTACGTGGAAGCAGGCATCCGATGGCCGGTTTGCTCACCCCCCACATCCCAAGCCAATGCACTCGCCAAAAACAGCATGCACAGTAGTTCAGGCAGTAAAAGATGAACAAGGACAGCCAACCCGCCATCGATGATCGTAACACAATTCACCAAATGACATGCGAAAAAATTCATGCTTTTTCTCATAACAATGAATAAATTTATACACTCTGTATATATATGCATATAT